AACCGAATTAAATATCGACAAACCAAGTTTAAAAAAAAGTTAATTGCACAATGCTTTTAATAGTCTTAAAAAAGCTAAAAGTTTAGGTGTTGATCAAGTTAATGTTATTTTAATTAAATCTGTTTTTGATATTATTGAAGCCTTACTCTTTCATAGTTTTAATCTTTCACTTAAGTCAGGTCATGTTCAAGATAAAAAACTAATTGAACGCGTTTTGTATAACAAACGTTATAAATATTTAACTGAAAATAAGACTTTATATATGTAACATGGTTTGAAAAAAATCCATTGTACTCTCCATGCAAAAATTAATTTGGTTAAACATATACCATTTGGGTTTAAAATAATTGCTTTACAACAGGCCCATAACAACCGGACGGGTAGCAGGGACATTCCCCTCCCCCCCTTTATCAATTCTTCAAATAAGTAATTTTGATTAAAAAAATATTGTCCTTAAAACTATTTCAGGTTAGTACTGCCCTACAAAACCATAAATTTTTTTCTACAGCCCTGTACAATTGTGGTGTTTATTGATTTATTCAAAGCTTTTGACACCGTAAATCATGAGATACTTTTGAAAAAACTAGAAGAAAGTTATGGTGTTTAAATTTTGTTTAAGTTTATCAAGGAAGATTTCAAAATGTATTTCCATGTTAAATTAAACAAAATTGTTTCTTAGAAATGAGTTTTTTAAAAATATCTTTTTCATTCATATACCACTTTCTTTCTTACTGTAACGTTGTCTGGTGTGGCACTAATCACGCTTAACTCAAAAAAATTTATAGCAAACAAAAATATCCTTTCGTGATAATATTTGAGGCAAGCAGGAATGCACATTAAAAATCTCTCTTACATTAGGTCAGAACTGATGTAAGAGAGTTTACATAATGATATCATAAAAAATCATAAATTGAAATTATTTATAAGACTTAACATATAGATAGTTACAAAGTTGATATTCATTACTAGTATTATTTATAAGACTTAACATAACTTGTGTTTTACAGGTCCGAATAGCTAGCCTCACATAATGTTCAATTTAGTGTATTTTTGCACAGAATTCACGGTTGCCATTACACAAGAATTATTGGCGAGAAAGAGCTGCAGCACTTTTTTTTTTTTAAAAGAAACTGTAAACGAGAGTGTAAGCAAATCTTAATTTGTAGCGTATATTTGTTGTTATTTCGTATTTGCAGCGTATTTCGCATTTGTTTTGTATTTGTAGCGTATATTTGTTGTTATTATATTTAAATTTTGAAAGGAAACTTTTAAATATGCCTTAGTGCCTCACTGTTTTTATAAAGTGCATTGCAGCGTTTAAAATCTTTTGCTTGCTCATTTAAGTTTTTTGTTGAAATTTTTCAGTTTTTTAAAATACAAAACAAAACCATTTTAAAATTTAATATAAAACATAAATAGAGATATTATAAAATATAAAAAATGTATATATTATATAGGGAAGAACTTGCACCCTTGATCCGTAAGCCCCTTTGATCCAATAGCATTACCTCCATACTTACAAAACTTATTAAAAAGAGCTATTAACCAGTGTGTTATAAATATTGTAACTTTGAAATTAATTGTCTTTTGGTAAGAAAATATACCACTATTAAATTTATTTCTAAAAAGTTTGATTTTGACGACAAAATGTAATTTTTTTTACTTTTACAAAGAAAAATAATATTAATGGTGTGAGATCTTTAATTTTTTTTTTGAGTTGAATAATTTTGCTTATGTCATTTTGTAACTAAACTTTTCAACTCTTGTATGTTTGCTTATGGTAAACTATAGAAGCATCTAATATGACAAAAAAAGAATTTTTGTAAAAATGGAGCGGGTTAGCACTCTTGATCCTAATGCGTTTATGCACCTTTAATCTTATGATCAAAGGAGCTTACACGCAAACAAAGTATTTAACTATTAAAGTAACATGTACAAAATGTCATTATTTTGAAATATATTTCTTTCTTTCAAAATCTAGCATTAAAGTGAATATTTTATACTGTTTTGTGCTTTATTTTTTGTTCTTTCTTGTGTTTTATTTTATACAGCTATTTTTAACTTGCAATATAAAATGATAATTTATTTTTTTTGTTGAAAAAAACTTGTAAAGCTAATCGTTTTAATTTCTTTACTTTATTTATTTAATTTAGCAAATTTTCTTTTATTAGTGTTAGTTTAACTTGCTTTATATAGTGAAAATAAATTGTTATATTTTATATATTATGAATAATTTGTAAAAAATATATCACGCAAATTGTAGGGACTTGACAACAAGACTTATGTCTTCTACTTGCTCCTATCATTCTTTATAATTTCATTTATTTTATTAAACTTGGAAACGAGAACATTGTAAAATGCTTATATATGACAAAATATATATATATATATATATATATATATATATATATATATATATATATATATATATATATATATATATATATATATATATATAGATATATATATATATAGATATATATAGATATATATATATATAGATATATATATATATATATATATATATATATATATATATATATATATATATATATATATATATATATATATATATATATATATATATATATATATATATATATATATATATATATATATATATATGTATAAATATATATATATATTATATATATATATATATATATATATATATATGCATATATATATGTATATATTTAAAATAATTTTTAACCAATCTAAAAGATGTTTGTCTGCAACACAAGTTTCAGCCACAAAACATATATAATGTTGATGAAACAGGTCTCACAACTGTTCAAAAACCAGTTAAAGTAATTGTTGAAAAAGAAGATAAACAAGTTGGAAGGATAACTTCAACAGGAAAAGGGATATTTGTTACAGTTTGTGGTGCAGTTAATTCAATAGGAAACTCAATCCCTCCATTTTTTATTTTTCTACGAGTTCATTTCAAAGGAAGTATAATCAATGGTAACCATCTGGTTAGATGAATGTTGCAACGTTTTTAGAGTGGATGAAACATTTTATTCAAAATGTAAAATGTTTACCAGCTAATTTAGTGCTCTTACTTCTTGACAACCACGAGTGCCATGTTTCAATTGTGTGTTTAGATTTAGGTAAAAAAAATGGTATAACTATTTTGTCCTTTCCACCATATTGTAGTCTGAAGCTGCAGCCATTAGATTGGTCAGTTTATAAGCGTATGTAACGTTATTACAATGCAGCCAGAGATGATTGGATTATATCTAATTCAAGACCAATGACCATATATGATTTAGCCGCAGTTGTAAGGAAAGCTTATGCACAAGCTTTTACTTTTACTTTAATCCTAACATATTTTCTTATAATGAGTTTTCGGGTTCAAATATAACAGACCGTTCATAACCTATTATTGTCAACCGATTTCCAGGTCCTGTTGATCCAGTTTCGGCTATTGCTCATGCCCCAGCTTTTATTCAATATTGATGTCAAGCCTGCCATCAGGTTTAGCTTGTAGTGCATTGCCTACTCAGCCTATATCTGACCCTAAAAGTCAACTATTCAATGTTTTTATTAATAACTCTCATCAAGCAAGTCTAAAAATAATTGGGTCATTTCCAACAAATAGAAATGGCCTTACTATTTAAAAACGGATCAAGGAAATCCATTAAAGGACGTTAACGTCAGCGTACTCGAATACTCACAGACGCTTCTGTCCAAAATGAACTAAATAAGCTTCAGGAAATGAAAAAAAAATCTCAGTCAAAAAAGAAAAAACATAAAAAATAAGATCCTCATGACAAAGAAAAGAAAACTTCATCTTAAAAGTAAGGAAAAAAAAAGTTAAGTCTCAATAAAAAATAATATTTATTTCATTGATTTTCTCTTCTTTTAAGAAAGATAAAATTGTAGTAAAACTAATAATAATTTTATTGGTATTTATTATAGACATTTCTGGTATAAATTTGATCTCCGATCAAATATACATACATAGGATCAAGAAAGCATACTGGTATGCACCATGACCCCTATTGAGCAATTATAGTTTTTATAATTTGAAATCTACTTAAAATATTCAAGTAAAAAATTGATTATTGAAATATAATAAGGTATAAAACTTGTTATTATGTACTGCTATTTTAGAGATCGAAATGAAAATATCTATTCAGTAAATTGGCCTGATAGATTTTTAGGATCATGGGTGCATACTCTCTTCTACATGTTTATTGAGATATTAAAAAAAGTATATATATATATATATATATATATATATATATATATATATATATATATATATATATATATATATATATATATATATATATATATATATACATAAATATATATATATATATATATATATATATATATATATATATATATATATATATTTTATATATATATATATATATATATATATATATGTTTATGTAAATACAAAGTTTGTACATAAGTAGTAGAAAGGTTTTTATATTTTAAATATTACTTATATTTATAATTGATAAATAGCAGTTGGCGCAGCTGCTACTTAAGCGTTTAAATTAATTTTTTCTGCCGCTAGCCTTAAAAATTGATCTAGGGAATAAGTATAGAAACAGTTAAAACATAATAAATATGCCAAGACGCGTATTTAGGGGTTTAGACAGCTTGTTATATTATTAAAAGCCCTATTTTACTCTATTAAGTAAATGCCAAGTGAATGTTTGGCGCATTTCTTTCCTTTTCATAGTTTACTGTTTCCATTTTTAACTCAAAACTTTTTACCTATATTAGAAAATTTATATTTGTAAGAAGATTCATGATCATCTTCATAAAATGATACGTTTTAATTTTAATGCTAGCAAATGTCATATAAAAATGTTTACATATGTTTATCAAAAAAAAAAAAAGAAAGAGCAAAAGAAAGAATATTTTCATAATTATGTCATTGTATACTTTGTTTTATATTTTACTTTGTTTGTTAGATTATGGAAGAAAAACATATTTTTTCTTTTAAAAAAAGCAACATTTTTTGTGTTGTTTTTAGAAAGTTACAGCCGTGGTATTTGCTGGGATTCAGTAGAATCTTTGATTTATGCTTGTGTGAACTTATATGTTACAACGTAATGAGACTATTCTTTTAGATCAAAATAGCGTTTTCGAAGTCTTATTATAAATAGTTTTTTGAGTGGTTGTTTTGCAACAAAATTATTAGGTGTTTTTTTTCAAGTGTTAAAGTTAACTTTTTTTAATTTTATGTTACCAATTTTTGTTTTTAAGGCAGAAGACAGCATGTTATGTTTCAAATAACTATGGCAAGAAGTGGTCAAGTAACTACTTTTTTAAATAATTAAAAAAGTGATTTCCCTGAGCTATTTTTTATTGAAGCAGAGTTTTTTCATGAAACTTTTTTTTATTGTAGAATTAGATATTTGCGTAGGATCAGTTTTTGGTCTTTATATGTCAACAAGGGATTTGTATGTTATACATAGAAATCAAAAAACCTACTTAATGTACCACAAAACATATAAAAAGTGGTTGGCAATTTCAAACAACGAGTTCGAAAGAAATATATATATAAAAACCTAAATTTCTCTGCATGTTTGATTTTGGAAGAAAATTATGAGCAAATTTTAACATTTCAAACTCAACAATGGATGGGTAAGCTAGTTAATTTAAAGTTTTACTATAGTTACCTTGAATTAATTCTTTGAGATTCAAACGTGTTTGGATCTAGTTATGTACTGATCAAATAAGTTAAAAGCCTATTAAGTTCAAACTTTTCAAAAAAATGTTTTTTTTTTTTTAATTTTAATGTCTTTGGAAATATGAAATAGTATTTTAAACAATAAGCAATATGGCTTGCGAGTTTTTTAATATTAGTTTTATTATTGCCATTATCAATATGTAGATACCTATGGTGGAAAGTGTTTCCATGGAGACATGCATCTTAAAAATGCTTGAATCTTAAATACCCAACGGGCATTCGAACATTTAATCAACGTTTAGTTAATGTTCGTTCTAAATGTTTAGATTTAATTTAGTTTCGATTTAGAACGTAGGTCAATCGAATGTTCCATTTAAACCATATCTAAATGGTTCGTTTTAAACGCTATTTAAACTCCATCAAAATCTTTCGATTAAAACTTCGCGACGTTAAATTTTATTTTACGGCGCTTATTTAAAGAAGCTTAAATAAATAAAAAATACCGATAAACAAATCAAACTCTTCTTTTATTTAAGCTGCTTTAAATAAGCACCGTAAAGAAAAGTTAAACGCTGAACGCAGTATCTAAATACTCATAAACAAATCAAACATTAAACAAATAATTTTTTATTTAAATAAGTTTAAGATACAAGTAAAATCATTTTATTTATTATTATATGCATTATCGTATTCCTCATTATGATCGGCTCCATAATGATCATCGTCATCTTTGTTTGAACCGATTAAGCCTCTTCGTTTTAAGAATTGGAAAAAAAGACATAACCTTTCCTATTTCCACCTATACGGAAGAGAGCCATTCTAAGATGGGAATCAATGCACGATACCGTATTGCGGATACCGAAGTCATACAATCTCTTTTCTAAAAATAATAAAAATAACTCAATAAACATCTTTATTCTATTCATATAAATCATTTATTTAACAACTTTATAAATCCATAGTTTTATAGATTATAGAAGATTGTACATTAGTACAGTGTACATTGAGTAACTATAGTAATAATTGATAGAGAACTTTTTTTTAAAACTCTGTAAATTATATAATATTTATATAATAAAAACCTTATTAAAAAATCTTGTAGTTATCGCAGTTATGGGTTGATAAGTTGCATAACTGCAAGACAACTGCAGTGCTCTTCCTTAACATAGTAATACAATATTATATAGTATTCTATTACTTTATAACAATATCTGTACAACATATATATATATACATATATATATATATATATATATATATATATATATATATATATATATATATATATATATATATATATATATATATATATATATATATATATATATTATATATATATATATATATATATATATATATATATATATATATATATATATATATATATATATATATATATATATATATATATATATATATATATATATATATATATATATATTAATTATTCACCTCCCCAAGGCCCAAGGGGGCCACTACATTCGAGGAGGCTACTCATTTTTTTTATATATATATTTTATATATATATATATATATACATATATATATATATATATATATATATATATATATATATATATATATATATATATATTTATATGTATACATATATATATAAAGTTTGATAACTCCCATTATTCATTGTCTTGAGGAGCAGTAGGCACACTCAGTATCCTGTTTGATTGAAACTTTCTATTTAATTGAAAAGTTGTGGAGATACCGACAGTTTCACTACAATATAAATAAACATGTAAAAATAAAATTGTAATTCTTAAAATCTTCAAAGTTAAAAACTAAACAACAAACATAATAATTAAAACTTATATATCAAAATCATATACGTACTAACACGCAACTCAAGGTAAAAATTAAGTATTACTTAATCAATCCATTAGTTTGTGCTTTGATATAGTAGTTATGTGGATAATGGTATTTTAGAACTCAAATTTCGGGCTTACAGAAAAGAAGACTTTGCAAGTACTGATGGGTTAGCTACAATGTAAATAACTATATAGATATATTATGTATACAAAGTTAATAAAAATGTTTTAGTAAATAAAAATTTACTAAAACATTGTAAATTTGATTTTAAAAAGTCTATCCTAAAAGGCTTACATTGCTAAATATGTTCATAAGTCATAAAATTAACAGGTTTATCTAAAAGTAAAGGAGTTCTATATAAAAGATATAAATTTAGACAGCTTACTTGATTGGTCCATTCTACAGTCTTTTGGTATAGTAGTCACACTTGATTTGAATAAAGATAACTTAGAATGCAATTGAATGCTTGAGATAAGATGGCTGTGGAGGTGGTGATGGTTTAACTAAAATGTAAATCCGAGTGTATATTGTTTGAGATATGTTCATTACAATTATTATTAGTCTTCAAAGATGTAAAGTACATACATACTTACTTACATAATCAATTGAATATACTTGCGGTACCACATAAATAATCTTTTTGTATAATTAAACATTTGTAACTTTTTTTTAATACTTGAATGCATCCATGCTATATTATAATATAGCATGCATGAATAATGCATGCAAGTATTTTTGGAACTAAGGTCTTCACAAACTTTATTTCATGTTTATTGTAACATCAAATTAGCTAACCTGTCAATATTCGTACCTTTTGCATTAACATACCACATAAAATTCTTCCTCAACTGAAAAATAAAAACTATTTTACTATACCATAAAAATGGTTAATCATTTACTAATTAAAACTTGCTTCTTTATTTTTTACATAAAAATTAGAACAAACTAAACAAAACTATTATTTTATAATATATATATATATATATATATATGTATATATATATATATATATATATATATATATATATATATATATATATATATATATATATATATATATATATATATATATATATATATATATATATATATATAAATATATATATAAATATATATATATATATATATATATATATATATATATATATATATATATATATATATATATATATATATATATATATATATATATATATATATATATATATATATATATATATATATATATATATATATATATATATATATATATATATATATATATATATATATATATATATATATATAATATTTATTGCTTTAACAAGCGATTTATTTAATTTTTATATTATCATTTCTACTGTTATTGCATTAAACTAGTAATATTAACTCTGAAGAAATTGAAAAAAATTAATTTAGATTAGAACAATGCACAATTATGGATTAATTATGTTATTATTTTCAGCTTATATATTATTAGTTTCTATATAAACATTAACAAATTAAAATGAAACATTTAAAAGAGTTGTATAATCAGTACTTTTGCGCTTTTTTGTTATCTGCTAATTATCAATTCCTTCTTCAGTTTCTGATATTTAAAACTTTTGCAATCCTCATTGTCTGTAAAAGGAATAACAAAACATCTTATCCAAAGCAATGACAAATAAATTTAAAAAATAAATTATTAAACATTTTGTAAATAAAAATTATAATATCACAAACTAAAATAACAATTCAATAAAATATCAAGCTTTTGGTTCTTCCAACCAAACAGCCTGGCAATATGACATTTTGCTAAAATGTTAACACTAATTTGGTTGAAGGTACATCAACACATAACATTAATTTGTAAGTAAACTTGTTAAAAATATTTTAAATAAGTTTAGTCGTCTAGTTTTTTAGCTTTTTTTAGTAACTTTAGTTTTCCTAATTCCAAGGGATGATATACATATACATACTATATATTTCAACCAGTAAAATTTCAAGCTTGGTAGGTCTTTCATAACATAATAAAATAAATGAAAAATAATGCAATAAATATTACAATAGCTTTTAGATATAGAGCATAAGATAAAAACAGAACAATTTGAATTCTCTTTTAACTAATTTAAACTTTAAAGACTCAAACCAATAATCAACGTACCTTTCAAATATAACAGGAATTACCTTTAATCTTACATTATTTTTAAGCGTTGAATTTTTATAAATAACTTTTCATAAGCCTGAGCAATTAGATAATGATTTAAAAGGTAAACATCTGACAGATGTTTAACTATTAGAATCATATCTAAAAGAACAGAATTTGCAGTTTATCTTGTGATTACTAAAAAAATAACTATTAGTTTTAAAAATCACTGCAGTTTTTATTTACAGAATGATCTTTACAGAAATAGCCATTAACTTAATTATTATTTTAGGAAAATTTAAACTTTAAAGGAGTAAAAACGTCACAAAAAATCAATTTACCACTTGCATGTGTACTTGGTTGTTTCCTGCTGCTTTAATTGTTGTTGCAACTGACTGGACTGTATATAAAATATTAAATGAAATTAAACACGCAAAACTTAATTAACAATAAAAAATATATTTGCGTGGATTTCAGAAAATTATATAATATAGCTATATTATATTTAGTATATATATTATTGTTCAAGCCGTGTTAATTTTTCTACTAAATAGAAAATAAATGATACAATATAATAATCTATCATATCAGACATAAGTAAGTTTATTTTCTCTTAAGTGGTTATCATATAGGAGTATGAATAATACTTAAATTTTTAAAAATATTTTTTAGTTTACACTAAAAGCCTACACTAAAACTAAAGCTCCATTATATAAATATTTGAACCTCAAAATTTTTGATTGGCACTGTCTGCACTAAAAGTATAAACATTATAACATTGCTATTCGATCAATATAACATCTATCATAATTAATGAAAGATGTTATATTGATCTGTTTATGACATAAACAAATAGATGTTAGGTTTTAATGTAAACAAAAATAATAATTTTGTTTAGTTATTTAAAAGTAGATACCATTTAAAATGCATAATTTTTCTCTAAAACTTTTAGAAAAAATTAATGCATTTTAAGTGGTAGAAAAATTAGGAAGCTAAGAGTTAACTATAGACGTTCTATAGCGTTGTTAAAAACCAAACAGAAAAAACAATTTAAGAAATAATTTAAAAAAATGCTGAAACTGATACATTTTTGAAACTGCTGCTGACATAAACAGACATAAACAAATAGATGTTAGGTCTTAATGTAAACAAAAATAGTAATTTTGTTTAGTTATTTAAAAAGTAGCTACCATTTAAAATGCATAATTTTTCTCTAAAACTTTGAGAAAAAATTAATGCAAGTGGTAGAAAAATTAGGAAGCTAAGAGTTAACTATAGACGTTCTATAGCGTTGTTAAAAACCAAACAGAAAAAACAATTTAATAAATTATTTTAAAAAATGCTGAAACTGATACATTTTTGAAACTGCTGCTACTTTTTTGAAACTGCTATATTAGAGCAATAACTAAAAGAATTATCAAAATACATAGTTACTGTACTTAAAATTACTTTTAATCGCTTATACAACATTATCGAAGAACTTACAGGACTTTTTAGCTGCCTCATTAGCCACAGTATAATACTAAAAACAAATTTCTTTTATCTTTTCTAAACCATTTATTACATAATTTAAGATTCATAAGAAATTCTAATTTTTTACCATAATGAAAGATTCAAAATGTCCGACACATTTTGTGCGAAACTAATTTATTCCGTACGGAAATCGTTTGATTTAGCTTTTCAACGCAAATTAAATATTCAGAAGACGTTTAGAATAGGTTCCTAAACATTTAGATCAACGTAAATGCCATCTAAACGTGATCTAAACCAATTTTAAACCATCAAATGCCCGTTGGGTATCTAAAAAAAATTATTACAGCTTAATATGATGCTACTACATATATTGTTGAGCAATATATGTAGTAGCATCATACTTATATAGATTAAGAATGTATGAAAGAAATTTTCTAAGAAAAAGTTAACTTATGTATATAACTATTTGTGAGCTTACTCATTAAACCAAAAACCGCTTTCTAACTTTAATTTGTCTGTCAGGATTTATAGAATCATAAAAAAGTATATTTATAATTTATTTCGTTTTACATATTATTATTATATTACATTTTTTAAAAATATCCGTAAAATTTAAACTTTATTTAATAACGTTTATAAATTATTATAGCTTGCTTTATCTTTTTAATTTTACATCTTTTTTGATAAATATCTTTTTTAATATTGTTATAAAATTTTTCTTCATAGGAAACAATGTAGGATTATTATTACGAAATTCACCAA